TACAGAATAATTTCAACGGATCAGAACATAACAGTGACAGCCGTTGAAATACGCCCCGTCCCCATTCTAGAAGAAACCCTCCGGTTATCTAGGATGAAAAAGTTGATTTCCTTTCCACAGATCTCGGTATTACAATTTATCAAAATGCCGTAGCCCCGACGGCTCAAAATGGGTTCGTCCGGTAAAAAATTGGGTAACCGTGATTGTCGAAATTCATTGGTCCCTCTCGCCGGGTTGCTGGATTGAATGGCCTTCCTACAGTAATCTCCAAAAAGCTTGATTTGTACGCCGCCGAAGATGAGAATGAATAGCTGGCTGGTTCGTGTGTAACATCGGGACTACCCCGCTCTATTCAATCTTTGTTCCTAAAATCGATCCCCCTGTGTACTCTATTGGCCGTTTTCAAAGTCTTTGGAATTCAGCCTAAAAACTGCCAGGAAGGAGGGTTGTTGTATAAATTTACGGGGCAAATTCGTTATGGTTTGGTTTTCCGGTTCTTGCACATGGTTTCGAGAATTCAAAGAAAACACAAGGGTACTTGAGAAACTTCAAACGGGAACAAGCACAGATACAGGGCGATACATCTGTATGCTTGTCCCTTCTGGTAACCTTCCAAAGCCTCAAAGATACAGTACCCTATCAATACCTACCAGGCTGTCATTTGTATCCGAGCCTCTGTCAATTGGCCAAGGTGGTTAATAGTCATACCCAGAAAGCTCCTGGGCTCTGGATTTCAAATGCGATGAATGGATATGCCGTGAAGATGCATACAGTGCATACCTATCTTGAGTTACTTTGGCTCTGAAGAGCATATCATCTGATCATAACATCTCTTGATTTCGGAAATACTGGGAGATGAACTCGTTTTGGGGTTACCTTCTTTCGCCATCAATACTTCTATACATGATGTCAGCTGTTAAAAATAAAGGATGTGTGTTTGAAATATCAAGTTGAACCTTGTCATTGGACACTCACAGTTCCACTTATGCTCTCACGGCTGACCTAGCGGTCCATCTGATCTACAAGCACAGCGTGGGATGAAAGATGGTAAAGTTAACAACGATGAATCTGTAACGCACGGTATACAATATGAATCTCGTGTTACTCGTTAGAAGGAACAAGTTTGGGAATCCTTGCCACGAAGGCTCAATGCAGAATGCAGTGTACCTTCAACCCTCAGACGAAGGAGTCCTGTGGAAACGGTAAACACGTTGACGGATGATACTTTGCATTCGACTCGGGGATTTTCCATTGAGTCTTCTGTCGCCAGCAAAGCAGATTCTGGATAATTGCACTCCATGAGGCTCGCCTTATTTTCTTGCATGATTATTCAATCCAATCTGTATGCTATACGAATTCTCCACTCACCGAATACCCGCCTGGTACAAAATACATCTTACTGCACAAACAAGAGCACCAATCCTCTGCAATATGTTTCCAGTCCCTCGCAGCAGAAACAACTCTTTTCACCACGCCATTCCTCATCCAGCACATACATGTCAAAAGAACTGTCACTTCCTCATACTCTTTTGTCGAAACTTTCAAAGACGAAAATCACTACACACACTAGACAGAATATACATCACACATGTCAGGTCTAAAAGCGCCAATTTCATTGAAATGGTGCACTGTGCGCGTGCGGGACGATATAACCTCCGGACGGAGTGTGAGAGTCGTATGGAGTTACGGAGCACAACTAGGAGAGTAATATCCGAAATTTATAAATGGACATAGAAACATAAAGCGGATGGGAACTGATACCGCGTAACATAAATCGGGGATTTGCACAATATGAATCTGACCAGCACACAAGAAAAAACAAAAACAACAGTGATGTCAATTGACCATTAAACAGCTACCAGGTTTCAACAATCACAATCCCTATCTACTTGATCCTAGTGCAGTATACTTACCAAACTTCAATGGACCAAAGAATCTCTTTCCGGAAGCCCGCATGTCATCCCGTGCCATGACTAACTTACCCCATGCAAACCGAGTTTCACAATAGATTCTTGTGCTTGTGTTGCCATACGCATTCCATGGTCCAGGGGCGTGGAATGACCGAAGTCGGCTGGATGTTTTGGGATCGTCATGCATTGTTCTTAATTTGTAGGGCTTACTTCCAATGGTATCTTGTAATCGAGGGGTCTTGTTCTTTGTGTTGTGGTAATGTATTGGCGGAGTGTGGTCGATATATACGTACTTGTCTTTACAATTTACTGTTTGTTTGTATAAGATAGCGTTCTACTGTTCGATTGGATAATTCATAAGATATTTGCGAAGTGGTCATGGGAGTTGAGTACTCGAATTCATGAATGAGTACCATTTCCTACTGTCGCTTACGTGTTAATAATCCTTGGACGTCGAGTAGTTGAATTTATGCTTTTCCTTAAGGCCTTCAAATACCAGCATGCATTATTTCACACTCGGAACTCTTAGTAGTCAAGTACTTTATGAGGAATTTACGTATATTTTAGTACCAAAATGGCTCACACTTGATGTATGAACTGCCTGGCTATTCAAAATTTGTAAGTTATTAAATACGTATTGTGCTCCGGACTAATGGAAAAGTTGATCTCGTTTATCATAACAAGCATATATCCTCGACCATTCTGATTCCACTATTGACTTCTTCCTGAATTTCGCCACTCATATATCCAGGGAGGTAACATTCTCCAATCACTTGATAGCCTTCATTATCCTCCCACTTTCTCAAAATTAACGGAATACTACATCCAAGCAGGATCCAAACTTGATCGCTTTTCCGTGCTCGACACGGAACCATACCAATGAGTCCTTGGTTGGTGGTCATAAGTCTTCGCGCCATCCATTTGGTGGTATCTCTGAAACGAGAAATGAATCCTTGTTCGTTGGTTGAGATATCCATGAAATCATAATCAGTGGAGAACTCAGGCTTCGAAAGTGGTGTCGCTTTGCATATCTGCTCGAGTGAGTGGGAACCAATTCGGAGTGTCCGATTGCGTTCAAACCAATCGAGAAACAGAGGATGTACATCACCTGGTCTTGTCATTGCCGCAAAACAAAATGCTTGGAATTCTAAGTACGAAAATTCTTTGGCTGATATACCCTGACTAAGATATCGGTCTTGTCGGTTCAGCATCAAGCAGCGAAAGATGTGATCCATGTATTTAGATGCCTGTTCAGGGTCCAATTTAGCTTGGGTTAGTAACTCGGCGTTGCTTTGAGAAGCTTTCGATGTTCCATGTATGCTTGTTGACTCGACGCTCTGATATATCTCGGCGATTTCGTCGTTCGTCTTATCTTCGTCTGTGTAGACTACCTTGAGGCCGCCAATACCGTCGACAAGATCTACGAAGACTCCTTGGCAGGTCAGTATCCGCAGATCGGTGGAGAAACTGTATTCCAGAGGGACATTGCTCTTTCCAGCCATAAAAACATCGTAGTTGTTGCCCTTGGGATACCAGAACATTATAGGACGAAGGTTTCCAACGTGTTTTGCACCACTTTGAGCAGCTATTGCAGGAACCATCCATGGCTGTACATCAGCTCTCCAATCTGGTACCCAAGAGGGGAGTATTGGCTGGCCATGCGAATATTCTAAACAATGGAACCGGTCCACGAAGCAGATAATATCCAAACTCTTGTGTTTCTCAACAATACTTTTGACCAAATTTGAGTAAACTACTTCAAAGCTATCTTGATATCTCGGCGGGTCAGCCAAGAATCCATCCGCAGCCAAGCCGAGAACAGAATAAACTCTATCCCTAGGATCAGAAGCTTTGTAATCCGAAATGTATCCCATCAATCCTATCAATTGTATCGGAGCGCCTCTTTGATACCAATGAAATACACGACGACGTATCCATGGAGCTTCGAATGCTTTGTGAGCCAGCAATGTCTCATCAATTCTCCTGCATGAGCCTATCGTACTCATTGCTGTAGTCAATTTCCGTCTATCTATGGTCTCTTGTCCGCACTGAAACACGAATTTTCGTGGAACAAGATACTCTTGAAGTGTCCATACTCTCGTCCACCAAGGTCTCAATAATAACTTTTCCAATGCAGCCCATTTGCTCCTATCACTCAACTCATTCCCTAGCTCTTCCTCTTTCGCTCTTTTGTCTCCGGCTAGTCTTTTTTGGTGAACCAAATCTAACCTTTTCTTTTGGTTTGCTAATATCTTCAAAAATTTGATTGCTTGCTCGCCCTCCTCGTCTCCCAGACCGAGCCAGCCGATAGTCCTATCTGATTTCTCGTAAATTCTCCTCATCATAGCGACCTGGATATTGCGCTCCACTTCTGCAATTGGTCCCACATTCTGATCAATGCAAATTGAATCAATCCACCACCAACTTTGCTTTAATTTTTCTTCATCACAGATGATCTCTAAGAATGGGTGAAGACTGCTCAAAACAGGAAACGGATACCCGTTGATAAAGATGTTATAAGGAAACACTTTAGGGCCCCAAACGTAAGACAAAGTCCTAAAGACAGGACGCTCCAAATCATCAAGGGAAAAACTTTCTAACAAGCCGCTGATTGAACCTTGTTCGTTGCGCTGGAGACGGAGGAGACGAATTGAAGGCTTGGAGGTGTCGAGGGGTGTGTAAGAATATTTTGGGAGGACTTCCATCACCGCTATTTATGGACTATGCAAGATTCAAAACTTTTGATGCGCAATAACATGAAGAAAACAGGAGTTATCGTTCGAACGGCTGAGCAGTTGCACGCCATGGCTTGAACATGGTCAGGTCAGCTGTCCATTATGATTTTCCTACACCGCCTTTGTTTTGCCATAATATAATGGAATTGAGGTTTTAAGATGATGAGAGTAGAGAAATCTCGATAGCTCATCAATCCGATTTCATGTCATCATAATTTCGATCAAATATACGTATCAAGAGACAGGAAGAATTGTTGCAGAAGGCTAAGACCGCAGTAGTTCCACATCATAACACAACAAGATCAATCGTCCCACCAAATACTTTCACAATCTCTTGAAATTCGTGAAAATTTCTTTAAAGAGCCCAGCTCCCAAAACCAATCACTGCCGTCATCAAAAGAATCGTATTGATTGTGCCTCTTCGAACAATTGTTCCCATCGACTCAATCTTGTCCATCCCCGTACAGAAGAGGTCAATCTGAATGCTTGAATTGCCACTGAGGAATACATCATTGAGGCATCTCATAATCCTGTCGTCGCCATTTGGTGGAGGGAAATGACAATACTGGATTACGCAGTTATATTGGTCATTGAGCGGATAATCAAAGAGGTCGGAAGTACCACAACATGCTTTTATCGCGGAAATTGACACATTGCCAAACTCGGTGCTATTTGGATCGGTCCAAACAGAAGGCCAGTAACAAGCTGATTGGTTGCCGAGAGTGCTGGATATATCATTGTTGTCGTTGATGCAATAACTGTCGTTCGACATTGTGAAAGCTGGTGAAAATTGACAAATATCAGGACTCCAAGGTAAAGTTGAAAACACCAAGTGATGAACAACGAGGCTGGAGGTAGAGCTTTGAAGGTAGTTGTGGTTTCAGTTGAATGTTGACTAGCAAGTGCTCTGGATCAGGACGATATCGTGTTGTGATTCTGGAGATGTCGACAGAAAAGAAATTAAGGTTATGATACGCATGGTCGAGGAGAGTCAGACTTCATTTAACCCAAAGTCCTTTGTTATGTGCCACCAACATAAGAAACCATACGATGTTATCAATGCTACCATTTTGAAGTTGGTACTAGGAGTATGGGGCACATGCGGCGCAGACACTTTCTTCGCACTGCCACCATTTTATTCGGCAAATCAGCATCCACAGTTCCAAGATCTATAGAAAACCCATTGGTAGGAATTCTAAGCGAGTCCTTTCCTCATGACTTCCGCAATCAGTGTTGGAAAGTTTAATGGTCACTAACTACATCAAATGTTTGTCCAGCTTCCAATCTTGGTACCTTGTGAGAGCAACTCACAGCCAACAATCACCGATGATGAATGACCCAGATAGCAAACATCGATTTCATAGCCTTACAACCATTCCATTTCCTTCCCTGATATTCTCGGCATGTGTAAAATTAGAACTTGGTGCCGCAACTTAGAGGCTCAAGGAAAAGTTCGAGTTCATAGAAAGGAGTTTATGAATCGAATAACGTCTTGGCGTATCAAGGTTCGAAATCATGTTGTAGGATTAGAGTAGCAATATTCTTCCTGAATCTGCGACTCACCCCCTTCCATCACAATGTTGGCGCCTGTAAAGGCTGTCTATCAGTGTCCCCCTTGCTGTACTGGCGATCACAACCGAGACATACCCTTGATGCTAAGGATGAGTCTATTATTCAGTCTTACATGAAGGAATTTTGATGAATGTGTTGTTGAGGTAGATGAAAGTTGCTTTTGAACTCGTATCTGATGTCTGTCGTAGACAGCAAGTTCGTTATTAAAGGAGTGGTATATCGGTCCAGGCCCCTCATCTTACAACTCAGTCAGTGCAGAAAATATGAAGGTAGACATCAGCGACTATAACTGCCCCAAAAAGAACACGCTCAACAGCAAAGGTTACTGCTCCAAGCCAATTCCAAATGTACCTGGCAAGGAGGGGTGCTCAGCGTACTGTGAAATACGCGTGACTTTGAAGTATGGGCAAGAGATGCCTATGTCAGGAGGGTGAGTACAATAAGAATCCGAACTCAAACAACCCACATTTATTTGGCATAATCTTCCAGGACTTTGCGCTCTGCACTGCAGTCCGAAGCAATTGACATTCTCTCACTATCATGATTAATGTTTCAGTCTGTTTGGTGGAAACCACTCGCTAACATCTCCAAATTTAGGGTCATGTGGAAGTATCATATTGAGACTGGAACAGATATAGAAAAGAGTAGGTAGAATACGAATGTTGATATCAGTCATTCTTGTGGAAGTATTGATTCGTGCTTTTAAGCTCACTAGAAGAATGTGGGGAAACGGGAATTTTCCGGCAAGATGCGCGCAGCCACATGTTGAGCAGCCACAGATCCAATTTCACCGAGAATACCATACTCAGCCACACCACCAACCACGATTACATAGGTAGCGCGTTGTAACCACTACAATATCGAGAACAAGTTTATGATCGAGAGGTCTCAGTATAGTATAAAAGAAGGCTTCCTATAAATACAAGAGAACAGCGATGACTCTATATCGATTTTCGGGATTGAATCCAATTACACCTGCATGGATGGATAACACTAGCTACGGTAGCCCCGCGTACTAGCTACTGCGCTTCTGGCGAATTTAGGCAAACGTAGACCATGATTTATATAACCAAATCCAAATCCACCATCTTTTTCGCTTCGTGAAAACAGTGTCTTGCTTACATTCGTCTCCACTCCGACTTCATTTCTCCACTTCTATCGTCTTTATCGATCATTGCAATATCATCCACTTCATACAAAGGCTATATTCTTCAGTATCTGCTGTTTGGGAACAACCCTAATACAGCTGCACAGTATTGGTGGTTAGGTTCCTCAGTATTTACTGTTTGGGAACAACCCTGATAAATGTACAGTATTGGTGGTTAGGTTCCTCAGTATCTGCTGTTTGAACTATCCTGATTCCTACTTTCTTTCTCGATTCGTGGAAACAGTATCTTGTTTTAATTCATCTCTATTCCTACATTATTGCTTCACCCTATCATCGTATTGAATAAAGATTGTATTCTTCAATATCTACTGTTTGGGAACAACCCTGATACAGCTATATAGTATTGGTGGTTAGGTTCCTCAGTAGATATTGTTTGAATCATTCCGGTTCGATTGATACCAAAGAGTCAAGGCTGCTCTATTAGCCTGGGTGGGTGGGATACACATCGAGTGTGGGATCATTTATCTCCAAGAAAATTGTCCCTTATCATGTTCATCACTGATCACAATTATAGTACACGGTATGGCGGTTCCGATCGAAAAGCTTGGGCTAGAGAATCTCCTCCAAGAGAGAGTATATATAAAATGGATTGATGAGGGCCATCCTTATTCGTTAGGTTCTTGCTTAGTCGACAATAAAGAGAACACCAATTTTCTTATGAAAGTGGTCTGCGATTCAGAAAAACGTATTCATGTCTATTTCTCCCTGAAGGTGACTCACAAGCATACTGGCAAAAATCGTTCAATGGAGATGTTATTGGTCGTCCCGCCGCACGGTAACTTTGAATGTTTCTCAAAATCTTTTCCAATATCAGGGCTCGATGATTTGTCCTCCCATGACGCATCTGCCCTCCACGAAGCCGGTATAAGTAATCTGGAGCATATCATTGTCCTATCATTCGATCTACAGTTTACAGGATTTGTTGTGAGAAAGGAGAGGGAATCTGCGAATATTTTACCTTCCAACTCTACCTCGAGTACATTGATGCAGAAACTCAGATCTTTATCTGTTACGAAAAGTTTCAAGGTTTATATCAGACCTTCCGATTACGCGCGTGCAAGTTTGAAAACGGTTAACGAGCGCTTGCGTGATAAGGGCTCATGGATCTGCGAACCTGATATGCGGAAGACATACTCTCAACAAGGTATTATGCTAGTCGACTGGGCCCAAGTTAAATATCGAGAACTCAAAAGCAAACCACTGTCACTGCCACCACAATCGCAACCGCAACCACCACCATACACCGAACATGACGCACAAAGGTCGACTGAGGTGCAGGTTCCTCGGTCACCACCAGTCGCAGATGTATATCTAAACAAAGACATTGTGCCGGCAACGCCAAGCCTTCTACCGGTGTGCCATGGTATTTTCTCGCCCGACTATGAAGAGCCGCTAGATGTTGCAGACGACTTGGATCTTGACGATATTCGCAAAGATCCAGGACATATCGAACCATATCTTGAGATGGACTCGGATGAGGAATACCTTGCCGCGTTGCATGCTCAACAATGTAGTCAACAAGTCAGACAAGACACAAACTCGGAGGTTCTTCGGTTAGAATTCAAAGAGTGGTTAAAGGCAGCGATGTCAATAAATGAAAATGTGTACGGACACAGCGGACTAACCAAAAAGTTGTTCGCTCTTGGTGACAGTGTCCATGCGTCCAATATTGGAATGTTTGACGCTATTAGACCTTGGTGTTCTGCACTGTTCTTATGCGACCCCGCAGATTCAAGCAGACTAACAGATGAATGGTTTGTCTCGGATATGGCTGGGCTCATTAAATGGGTTAACACATTTCACCGTGGCGCTGAGATGTCTATACTAATGGACGATTTTTTAAAGCTTGGTAATGCTGCTCGCGTGCGTGACAAGAGTGAGTACAAGCGTTACAAAGCTGACTTTCTGCTTCGCATATGGATCGAATTTGACTGCTCAAGCATTAGTATCAACGGGGAGAGCAGAAAGGTCTTGTCCCGAAAAAGGAATGTCTTAGAGACTTGTAGTGATGTTACTAAACGAGCTAAAATAACTACATAACTATCAGGTATATATTCTTTATTTCAAATCACGGATAAGAGAGAAAGGAGGTTTGGGTGGTTTTACATTATATTAATGATTTCTTATATGTACAAGAGAGAGTTCTGTACAATGATCTCAACAGGTAGCCATGGCAAAATGGCATCTAATTTAATGACATCACTACTATTATTTCCTTCAACGGTCTACTACCGGAATTTCTGTCCTAAAGCAATTTATCCCCATGCCCTATCAGGCTTTCACACTTCTACATTGGAGACAAAGTTGATGTTTGCATTGAGGTCGTTCGAGATGGCATGAGACTGTTCGCTTTCCCGTTCCCTTTTCCTAAACTTGGAAATCTAATCTGGTGCATGGACTTCCTCTTGATGCTCCTGGCCTCTATTTGACATTTTTTCTCTATAGCAAGAGCCCAACGAGACAAATGAGCCATTTCTTGTGTTGTTGACAGTGTCTTTGCTGAAGTTTATCTCTGCCACAAGAAATCAAGGACAGTGACTAAAGAGTGAGTAGGGAGTTACTGACTTTAACTTTCGCAAAAGCATCGTTGTCAATTATAGCACCGCTTCGTTATGTTGGCGGCGCATGTTCATACAGAGATGATCTGGTGTTCCTCAAGTCCCAGCCTGTGGTTGGTCTCCGCATTGAGTGGCTTACTTGGATGCGAGCTACTGTTCGATCGCTTTTTGACACGCAGAAATGGGCATTTGAAGGATACTCGAAGGTAATAACCATTCTTTCTTTATCATGAACTTACACGCAACATTTCTTCCCCCGCGAGGTTCATGCTCACAGCGTTCAAAGTACTCAAAAGTCGAATATACTTTTCGTCGTACCGAGCATCGATCGTGGCCCAACGGTGGTGATTCCACCACGGTAAATTGAAAAGGGATATGGCCTCCCAGAGAACGTCCTTGATGTTTATATGACGCAAAACGAAACATTTCAAACGAAATGCACTGTTTGGGACGAAGAGGTTTGGGTGAACAACTTCCAAATAAAGGTCATTCGTCACCGGATGACACGAAATCTGGATCATCTAGCATCACTCATTGCGATGGAACTTGAGTTAGGATTCGAGCGATGGTGGGGCACCGGGGCCAAAGAGTGGAAGGAAATTCAAGTCTGAGACTCGTGTTTGAAGTTAATTGCAGGAGCTGGAAATGGGGCATTCTGCGAAGCTCCTCGTATGTTCAAAGCCGACAAATGTTACTCGATTAGGATGCTGATACATGCCTTTACGTAGATCGTGATAATCGCTTCTTGAAACGGCTTCGAGATCATGTCATGAGTATCATCTCCGGTGCCATATTCATAAACTGTTCGCCCACAATATTGAAGCCAGTTTCCGGGATGTTAGTTGCATGGACCTGTGATTATTCCTTTCAAAGAACCCTTAAGATATGCCTTCCTTATGTTAAAGAGCGACTGGATAATACGGCGCAATTGAAGCAGAATTCTAGTTATGATTGGATTCCTCGAGTAAATACCAACCGCCTTTCTCTCCGTATTATTACGTGAAAGCTGACAATCGATCATCCGCAGAAAGATGCCCTCAGTGGATAATTGATGAGTGCTATGCAACCAAGGAAACCTCGCAGTTGAACCCCAAGCGCGTTGCCCACCGCCTGCTTCTATTGAATGATGTATCTCTACATTCCACGAGCTTTACGATACAAAATGTACTGCTAGATCTCTTCAGCCATGACCCTTCGAGTGGTATCGTGGATGCCTTACGGGAGCAATGCAAACGCGTGCTGAAAGAAGCAGGCGGGTCTTGGACCCGCGATGCAGTCAGCAAGCTCACGCTTGTGGACTCAACCATTCGAGAATCCATGAGACTTTTATTCTACTATTCTAGTATTAATAAACTAATAAATTATGTATAAAAAGAATAACAAGAATTAGAATCTAAATTGATATCTATATAAAAAGCTTAATAGAAAACTAATCAAAAATTTAGATGAATCTAATAAATCTAATCAAAAATTAAACTCGAGCGTAGGGAGGATCGAGGGCTTAAGGGGGCTGGCCCTCATATTATTATTGTTATTATTATTATTAGCCGTCGGGGAAAAAGAATTTGAAGTCTACGAAATCGTAAGATCTCAAAATTATTACAATAATTAATAAGAAAAAAGAAATTCTACGAATTCGTCGACTAAAAATTCTTTTTCCCCGACGACTAGTATTTTTGATGTCTTGTTTCTTATACATAAAATAGATAGTAAACATATTTTTTGATTGAAATTTCAATAGAATATAATGATTGATTGATTATGTATTGAATTTAGAATATCATTTCAAAAATAAATAAAAGTATACAAGATAGAGGGTTGTAATCTTACAAGATGTAGGGATATCGGTTACATAGACAGCTTGCTTGAGCTTGGATCGTTTCACGTGATTTGAACCCAGTCAAATTGTCGATAGCTGTGGACCATGTCCTAAAACCCTTTCACTTCGACTTACCATACTTCGTACTGACATAATTAGTAGTTACAAGCACAATACCTCTACTTCGTTCATCAACCCATCAAGTGTCAAGCATCGAGAATTGAAGATTCAGACGTCATCGATACCATGCTATTCAATATGTTAAAGTTATATAACGTGTTTTATCATCGAGTGGATCATATCACCGAATGGATCACTCAATTTACATACAAAATTCGTCTGTGCGTAACCGTGCACTTTCTTTATTTATCGATAGAATTTTTTAAAAATTTAATATATGAAATCTAATTAAAAGTGTACTATGAAAATCTAATTTTTTTTTTGAATATTCAAAACACTATAAGAATTATTATAGAAATAGTTTTTTTGTAACGAAAATCGTGACATTTTCGAATTTTTGTCGAATTTAATAAAGATGTTTATATTAAAACTAAATTTCTAAAAAGCTAAATTATTATCATTATTTTAAATCTTTCAATTTTCAGAAATAATGATTGGTTATTAAAATAAGAATATTTAAAAATAGTTGATTTTGGTGTATTTTCAAATGATCCATTCGATGATATGATCCACTCGGTGATAAAACACGTTATGTTCTTAATTGCGCGTCTAAATATAGATACCTTCTCAGCCAATATTCCTTTCAATATTCCTACTTTCCAGCTCAATGCGTTCGCCAATTTGGGATATAAGCAGGCCAAAGTATCAAAAATTGTCGATCAAAGGTCTAAAATATATCAAGACAGGAAATGTTTGCGCATTTGAATCCTGATACGGATCCCCTGTAAATCACTTGTTCCAGCAAGGCTGTAAAATGTCGCAGGTGTTGGGGTCCGAATTATCCCGCCGGTACTGACAATTGAGCCGCTTGCTGGTTTTGGAGAGACCAGAAAAGTGTGCACATAATTGATTCACATACTTTCAGCTATCAGATACAAAGAACAAGGTGCTGCTCCTGGCCAGCTCCATGTTGATGCAGTCATAGGATGAATTGAACCATGTTCAAAACAGAGCTTATACTCCACATCGTATCTGAGAGCTTGAAGTTATCGCCGACGAGGATTTGCTTTCAATTCTGTTGAACTCACCGACCGGGGACATTTGAATCTATTCTCGATTTACTGGTGCCTGATCTGATATCATGAACATTCCGGGTCCTTTTGTCCCCTTAGGTTATGTTTTACTTTCATAGCCTTAAATGTATCAGAAATGATTACAGCTAGAGCTGTCGAATCTTATTCTGTACCTCACTTGATGACTGGCTGGCCGTTGCTGATTCTCCACGTCTCGTGGGTTATCAGTAGAGTCATTGAGAAGACAACGACTTAGCCAATAATCTCCCTGCAGTCTATAAGCCTCGAAATTCTCCGATTATGTTGGCAATAAATTCCGATTCTAATAGAGTGAAGAGATAATTTCTAGAGGTGCGGTGAGTCTTGATGATTATATGACTGAAATTGACTGGAACGGCAAGTGCCTTGCGCATTTATGACACAGAAGCATTAACGAAAATGCAAAGAAGAAACGCTTCACTTATCATTGGTTAATCTATCGTTTAGTTTCTTGTGATTCACAGAAATATGTTGTGGCATGTGTTCGAATCTGGGTATTATCCGCTGTTAGAATATGATACGTTACCCATTTTCAGGCGGAAAATTGATTTGCATGGATGGCCTGTTCACCAAATGATGCAGAATAAAAGTTTTGGCAGTTTTGGACCAATAGGTACGACTGAAACATTTGTTCAATTCCTTACCTTTCGTACCAAGTATGAGGTTTGAAGATAAAAATATCTCTTGGTGTCTGCCAAGATGCTGAAACTATTTACACATACCAAAAGGAATTTTCCATAGGCTCATCATAGTATTGCTAAAGCAAAATCTACGCCATGTTATGCTCATTCGTCCATTCAACGAAGCTCCAAATCCTTCACCCCATTTCGACGACACCTCACTTGGCTTACAAGCATTACCATGCATTCTTTGCGCCAACTCTAACCGATTTCGTCAAATCACCGAAACTGTACATTACCATGTACCGAATGTACTCTCAGCCCTATCAGCCGATTGTAACTTTCGTAAGACATAAAAAGTCGAATTCCCACGAGGAAATGAAGATTGAACCAGAGTCATGTAACAGGAAAGCCTAACCGAAGACATGCAGAAATCAGATGAAGCATCAAAGCGAACAGCAAGGTCAAGGACGCCGACTGCGTGTTTACAGTGTCAGAAAAGAAAGCAAAAATGCAGTAGGGAACAACCGTGTAGGCATTGTTCGAGGAGATATCCACCAGTGGATTGTATCTATACCTTTGAAGGGTAGGTTCTGCATCAATTTTATATGAAAGCTGCTAATACGTCACTTTCCAAAGAAAGCATAGGATGGTGACACTTACGTCTCCGGATAGGCTATCTGTACCCGACGACATCCCTGCATCTTTCTATACAGATCAAAAAACCTCGGCGGGTCGACTTTCTTCCATTCCTTCCTCTCAAAACTACTCGAGCACAGTATCGAACGAAGCACATCATCAAGCATCTGAACAGAATTCACAAGAAGAGAATATGACTTATATGCCCACGTTTGATATCACAAACTCGGATCCATTCAGTTCTAAGCCTCCTTACCAGGGAGTCTTGAGCAGTGCAATACCTGCCTCTGTCTCTGGATCACACGGCGAGCAAGAAATGGACCCAAATGAATTGGATTTCCGACCTGTACCACAAGTTCCGACAAATACGCCAGACCAAATCCCATTCTACGATTATATGAATGGTCCGCATATAGAGACGGGAAGCTGGAACCAGTCTTCCAATTTGAATCCAAATTCAGGAATGGTCGATTTACAGAATTTCGATCAATCATATTTCGTTTCAGATCCAATGCAAACCTCAAGTTCTCAGTCAACTGATGTTAATGGATCTCTTGCTTTTCATCAAAGTTTTGAGCATAATGAGATGTCTAACTTGGACAATCCGCCGAATATCTCCTTCTCGCCAGGAACACCAGACCGTCAGAATCTAGACTATGGAACAACGGATGGGTATTCGGGATCTTACTACTAGCCAACAGCGATTGAGAATTAGAAAATCGACAGCCTTTTAACGTGTTTAAGCCTTCGATGTTTCAGTTACGACATTGTTTTGCGTGAAGTAAACTAGAAGCGTCTTATAATTACGTGTGGGTTTCATACCGAAAATCTTCAACCACAATTACCTACTTGAATATTCAACTGTGTAGTTATCCAAAGACAGAGTTTTTAACTAGGTTTCCAATAGTCCAAAGTGCAGTTCAACAATTCGAGCTACTAGATCCTGGTCCTAATTCGAATATTCGAATATTTCAAAGTTTTAAATCCATTCCAAGCACTCAAAGCTTCTATCCATTCTATCAGTCCAGTTTACCGCATACCCTGACACCAAGCTACATACCTTCATTCTGATTTATTGCACCGGCTGGGAGCTCAGGATGGATGCTTGTGACGTCTCCAAAGCTGGAAGTATTCCTATGGTATCAGGAGGGGGCAACAAGATACCAAATATCAAAGGCCGCCGAGGATTATCATCACTGACCTTTACACAACTACCAACGTCTCGTTGCATATTCTTGGAGGACAATCATGTTATTTGGATGCTCAGATCGCTTCTCAATTCATGTCCACTTGATGCTATACATTGTTTATTTGGTTTCGCGTCGCATCAGATATACATCAAGACGTCCGTTATTGAACGCAGTTGATCTTGCCCAAAAAGAAACAAGGGGAGGATAGACTCATCGCATTACGGAACCAAGAACATGTTAGATTCTTTTTCACAGACCTATTAACTCTCAAAGTCAGACACACAGTCGCTGTTCTTCTATTTTCTGGTAGTGTCTAAAACAAGGAGTTTAGAGCGGAAACTTGGGATGAGATGATATAAATGACATAGATTCCTATCAAATTTTTATCTGAATAATGTAGAAATTTTGTTAAACTTGGATACATCCTTTGATTTATGGCCGTGATGCGAATTTCCTGTGATGAGTTTCTATCTATGCAGAATATTCTAGCTCCTCTTTTTCTCACCGTTTATTTTCCTCATTTTCTACCTCTCACAATCTTGAATCTGAGCTTATGACACACCTTCTATAGACTTCGAGGATTTCCCTTGCGTGGAAATCCAAAGATGAACTACCAACCTACCTACCTAGGTAGACGTGCAACCAAATATTTCTCGAGGAAATCTAAGAAACTCGATAGGCTGATAGTAACAACGTGTGCTAACACCGACATCTATGTCATCACTAGAATATGGGATAAGAGTAGCGACGGCGATAAGTTTGATCAATTGTATCCTCTTGCCCAATGGATGCTTTATTCTCCTCATCATTTCAAACATGGAACTTTTCCAGAAGACCCGTGAGCTCTGAACATACCTCCTAGGTATTGTTTTGATGGAATGAGTAATAAGCATCACCACTTTCTTCCTCGAAAAG